GCGTGTGCTGTACGGCTATTCATACATTTGAAAAATTAAAAGCTTTTGAATGTGCTCTTTTATAAACAGCACAGTTCATTTATATTCAGAGAATCAATGGGATGTTTTATGAAATCATTCATAAAAAAAGGTTTATTTTGCACATGAACATTTAATTTATAACGAGTTGTAAAGTACACATTACACATTTTGATTTACATATTGATAGAATAACACAGATTATTTTCAGAATGAAATGATCTTTTAGAATAAAATAATATAAAAGACATTACATTACATTTAGTGCATTCAGTTACACAACTATGTTCAAACGCTAAAAATTTTTACTTTTGAAAACTTTAATATATTGCACATGTGGCACTAATAAATTAAAAAGCACGGAACGCTGTGGATTCTGGTTCAAGTCCTGCCCGAGTCGTATGAATTTTACTTACTAAGATAACTAGACAGCAAATGATGAACATTGTTCGTAATTGCTAATCATTATTTTTTAATTCAAAGTTTCAAAAATAGAACACAACGTATACAATTCCTAAACAAAGTGCTTCTTTTAACGATGATTCATATCATCGTTTGAAGAAAAAATCATGTAATCGTCTTCGTTCAATTTGTTTAATGCGTTAGAATTTATCGGTATATTATTATTGTTGAGCTCGTTAAGCGGCCTAGAGCACACCAAGCTGACACTTGACACCGCCGGACAGAAATGCAAACAGCGTGCACAGTAATTGCTGACAGTCCTATGATATAATAAAATGTGGTGCGACGTAACAACGTTCAATGGTTCGCATTGCGTTAAACGTTAGAGGTTGTGGGCTCGGATTTCAGGCAAATGAAATAGACAAGGCACAAAAGTCTATTCTATATTATTAGTTAGTTGTTATTTAGTATTAACTAAATAAGCCTTTACTTTATTAACCCACTATCTATTTATTAAAGATAGTTAAGCATAACTAACGGGAACCACAAACAGTAACGTGTTTCATTGTTTTATTAAAACAAAAACACATCACTTAGATTCAAGAGTCATACTAATGATAAACCTATACATTTTGTTGTAGCAAAATCTCCGTTTCACCTGAGCATGTTTAGCACGGATCATTGGATCATTATTGATCACCATGATCACCTTTTCTACACTAAGAGGTGTTTTGATCTACACTGAGAGATGTTTTCTTTCACACTAAGAGATGTTTTTCCACCTAAAAGGTATTTTCCTTACTAAATGGTATGTTACTTAGCCACGTTATTACAATGGCACAAAACTTTAATTCTTAAAAAAACATTTACTTACTATATAATATTTACTTAAATTCTTCGAATTGTTAGGTTCTATATAATCTATACTAATATATAAAGCTGAAGAGTTTATGTTTTTTGAACGTGCTCATTTCAGGAACTACTGCATCGAATCGAAAAATTATTTTTTCAAAAACAAAGTTTGATGCCCAAAATAACTATCCTACGCGGACAAAGTCACTGTCACAGCTAGTATAAAATTTTATGTTAAGGAGGTATGTATATAAAATTATTATAAGGATAAGTATTAAAATAAAGGATTAGTTAAACACGTTAATAACTTGTAGCGTATGTGTGTCATGGAAGTTTTGGAGTTTACGATCGCGTAGAGCAATTATCACCCGCCAGAGGGCGTGTATCGTAGCAATAAATGTCGCCGGTGGATGTGCGGGGGCAGTTAAATAGCCCCACAAATATTGACTTGGCGTCGTTTCGAAGTTTTGCTAGTTGGGAGCACCGTTGGGAATCGTGACGTGCTTGGCGCAGGGCCAACGTCCATCTGTACTCGAAAGATTCTAGTATAGAATCTCTTCAATTGAACTTACTGTTCCGAAATGGTATAAATCGCATAGGAGCCGTTAGCCGTTCCTCTCTTTTTCGGTATGGTACTGGGGCCTTACTTATTTCGTGCTTATACTTATCTTTCGTGCTGTAAATAGTAATTTTGTATGAAGTTTACATTCGTGATTTATTTTACGTGCTCCGTTTATAATTGTGAATAAATAATTGTAATTTGATAATATTAGCCACCATACGCGCTCGCCATTTTTGGTTAACTGTAGCTTTAGGTTAAAAATAAAGCCGCAGCTCATTTCACACCCGTTTTGCTCTAATCTAATAAGTTATATTAAAATTAGTCACGATACAATTATATTTGTGTGAACTACTGAAATCTTTCACATTTGTTTGAAAATGTTAACTGTTAATATGGCTTTTGATGCCAAACTTTTTGGTGGTCGGCGGACGACGTCGAAGACGAAGCTTTGTCTACATACACATTTAAAACAATTTTAACGGTTTAAAACGTGAAATGCATTAGTTAAAAATGTATAAAAATATTTTTTTACACAACACACAAAACCACACCCCCCCCCCCCCCCCCCCGGGGGAAGAAAAAAAAAAAACCCCCCCCCCCCCCCCCCTTTTTTTTCTCCCCCCCCCCCCCCCCCCTTGTGTTTCCCCCCCCCCCCCCCCCCCCCCCCCCCCCCCCCCCCCCCCCCCCCCCCCCCCCCCCCATCAAAAACCCCCCCCCCCCCCCCCCCCCCCCCCCCCCCCCCCCCCCCCCCCCCCCCCCCCCCCCCCCCCCTTTGGGGAAAAAAATGCCCCCCCCCCCCCCCCCCCCCCCCCCCCCCCCCCCCCCCCCCCCCCCCCCCCCCCCCCCCCCCCCCCAAAATTTGCTATTTTGGCTTAGTTAAGAAACCAAGGCTGAAGAGATTAGAGATCCAATTAGATCGGTGCATTTATTTCGGAGATAGGCGTGTTCATACAACAGGAAAGATGTTATACACTGTGTGTAGTTACAGATTAATATAAAACACTTAAACGGTTTAAAACATGATGTATCTTAAGTAAACTTATTTGGTATTTGTTTGAACTATGGTCCGACGTTTCGGATGCTTTACAGCCGTGGTCAAAGGCTGTCTCCAAATAAGTTTAACTAATATCCATCGCGTTTTAAACCGTTAAAGTGCTTTATTTAAGAGGACAGATGTTTTTTACCAATATCTTAATATCACACAATTTTTGTTATAATTTGAATATAGTTAAAAAAATACAATTTTATTTCTCTGGATCTCAGTAAAGTTTTTGAATACCACCCTTAATTACTTCAACTTGAATATATTTGGCTTGTAGACGTAACATCACTCAGTGTTAATGCAAATTTCCCCTTCAAACGATCTTGAATGACGTAGTTTCCTGGTGTAATTTTGTACTCGGAATTCTGCTGTCAATCACTTCGATAATATTCAGTGTTCGTAGAAAGTTACATTGAATAGTTGGAAATAGTACTTATCAAAACATAATATGAATCAAATTACGTTAGGAGCAAGTTAGGAATATTATCTTATACTAGCTGTGTCAGCGACTTCGTCCGCGAGAATCGTAATTTTGGGCATCCAAATTCGTTTTGCAACTACACCTCTAAACGACTTTCTAGACGTCGGTCACGTCCCTTCCCGTCGTTCTTGCAAGTTAATATTCAAAGCTAGACATATAGCGTCGCCGACTTTTTTAGATAATTTAAAGAGGAATCATTCTTTCCTACATATTTTTGGGGTATCTGGAACTGATTTTGCAGCGTGCGCCTCGGAAACCCATAATGATGAATAATTTTCACAATTTTTCCACTATCGTTGTTGTATTCATCACATGGCGATATTTTATACGGCCTTCCTCGATACATGCTCTAAACAACACATTTTTTTTTATTCGAACCAGTAGTTTCTGAGATAAACGCGTTCAGACAAACAAACAAACAGACTCTTCAGCTTTATATGTTAGTATAGATTAAGTAAATATAACGTATTCATTATAATATCAAGCTATCCCAAAAGTAGAACAGGGTGGAGTAGAATAATTTGCATATTTTATGAGTGTCATCAGACGACTCTTCAGTTTACATTTTTCTTTAAGGTTTAAGTTGACCAACTTGGAAACGGAAAAGATAAAGAATGATAGACGATGATTGATGATCTTTAAAAGTATTCAGACTAACTTCAAAACTCGAATACTAACTTTAACTTTGTAATAACAATTTTTTTTGTGTGAAAGCCCGTTTCCCCCTTGTAGAGCATGGGGCGAACACATTCCTGTGTCCGTTTCACTGATCTGTTCTTTTAACGGGCAAGTAGTTGATCAGACTCTGTGCCCTGTCCGACCGAAACAATTTTATGTTTTATTGGGATACGAACCCAGGACCTCTCGCGCTTAACGCAATGCTAGGCAATACGTTTAACCATTTGGCTACAGAGGCGGTCGCATCTATGTATAAATTGTATAATTTATATATACAATTGGCTTACGCGGCCATTTTGCAGTGATAGATACCTACTTAAGGTTTTGAGCTGGTGTGACGATGTGATTGAGAAATGGTTCTCAATTTTCGCTATCATAAATAGATGTCAGTCTTAGCTTAGTCAAGGAACCTATAATATTGTAGATGCCATAAAATCGATAAAAACCATTTCTAAATGACAATTAACATCTTAAAACTAAATAATTTTATTAAAGTATAACAAATAACATTGTCTCTCTTAACTAATCTATAAATAAACTTGTTATATGCATTGTAGAGGATCAATTTGCTTATATACGAACTTGACTAAAACTATATTGAGTGGACGCATCATTTTTTTTATTTCGGGTTACCTGAAAAACTCGAGATCTCTTACTAGAGTTTTTCAGTTTCCTTTGTACGACACACAACACGTACAATAGTGGTTAACCATTTTTAAAAACAAAGGAGTTTTAAACGATTTCACTTCATTCTAGCCGCGTCGCTATGCACATAAATTATACTAACTTTATTGCGAAGTTCAGCGTTCCGTTATAATTATTATTTCTCAGTCAACAGACAGAAGTACGTACTTTAATAGAACTGAATAAGCTACAGGTTATCCACTAACACCAATATCTAAAAAAGCCATCTATTAACAATGTGAAATTCAAGATTAAAAACTCCTTTTTATTTATTTTTTCAGTCGACACAACAGCACAGTACGACGCAGTGAGGGCCTATCTGAAGGAATTGGATATATCTAGTTCAGTTTGGGTCGGATTAATTAGAAGCAACCCCGATGGAGACTTTACGTGGACGTGAGTTTTTTTATCAAATAACTAGCTGTATCAGCGACTCTGTCTGCGTAGAATAGTTATTTTGGGCGTCCAAATTTGTTTTTGCAAACCTCTGCGTCTTTATAAATTTAAGCTGCCCACGACATCGGTCGCGTCCCGTCGCTCGCAATCCGTCGTTCGGGACCCGTCGTTCATGCAAGTCAATCTTAAAAGATAGACATATAGTTACGCGGACAGTTTTTTAGATCATTCTGACATATATGTTTTTGTGTGTCTTGAAGCGTTTACGTAGCGTACACATCTGAAACCTTTCGTAGTTATAAAATATTGTTCCAAATGCTTTCTTATTTGTTTAATTTAGTCTTCACTCTGTCTTTGGAAAACTTTACAACTTGTGTCTGTCTATTACTGTTTTTCACAATTTTGTTCTTTTCTGCCTATTCAAAGTTTACGTTTCACCATATATGTTGGTAATTGTGTTAAAATGTCGATAGTCCTTAATTTAATAAATAAAATATAAATTTCTAAATACAGCAACAGACGAAGGACACCTTCTATCATTCTGATGTCGGAGAAATTAATCTTTCTGAGGCAACACATCGCAAAAAAGTGGGCGCGATACACATATTGGCGTTTGCGGAAGGAATGAAAAATCGCGGGAGGTTGTTTTATGTTTTATCGAATACTAGCTGTGTCAGCGACTTTGTCCGTGTATCATAGTTATTTTGGGCATCCATTTTTTTTTTGCAAGCCTCCTGTTCAACTCTTAAGCTGTTACCCACGACGACATCCGCGTCCTGTCTTTCTCTCGTTCTTGCAGGTTTTTTCACATTTCCCGCTGTTTCTTCGCCTATTAGTGGTGTGACAGCCTTCCTCAAAAAAACAAACATAATTTTTTTAATTCGAACCTCAATACCTTCCTCAGATTAGCACGTCCAAACATACAAACGAACAAACTCTTCAGCTCTATATATACAGACAGTACTTAGTATAGATATGATTTTTTCTGGTTGAACAGTGACTATAGAGAGCTGAGCGGTGAAGGGTATTGGAGTTCAGCGCCTGACTCTCGTACTGCACCACTTTGTGCTGCGGCGGACCCAGCAGGAGATTATCGCTGGGAAGCTAGAGCCTGTGGTGGACCCTCTGTAGCTTCGTTTATATGTGAATTACCAGGTAAAAGATAAAATTAATGGTGACATTTTTATCTAGCCATTATATTGCCCGTGTTTTACTCGTCGCTAAGTTTAGCCAAATTTAAATACTGTCTGTAGTTTATGCGGGAAGTAAACATTTAAATAAAACGTTTTAACGGTTTGAAGCGCCGGCCTGTTTCGACAAATATATATGACGGAACAGATGGCGCTAGCGTAGTAGTTTATCATCTTTAGGCTCCCCGTGACTACGGCCGCTGCATCCGAAACATCTGGCTATAGCTCAAAATTAATTTTAAATAGGTATATATTTCGCGTTTAAAACCGTTAAAGTGTTTTATATACATTTAGCCAAAAATATTTATTTTCTAGTCAATGATATTTCTGCCAAACATTAGCAATATATACATGCTATCGTATATTCTTTTCTAAATCACACGATTTAACGAACTATAATTGTTACGCAGCACACTGGCCCTTTAAGGAAAAAGTAAATAATTTTGTCCGACGTTCGAAAAAATTTTTTTCGTGACTTCGAGATTCTTTTAATCGTCATAAATAACAAATATTTTTCGAACAAATCGATTCTTGTAATTATCGTCATCCACCGAATAACAAACTATAAGATTTGACACTTAATCGATTTATTTAATTGTATTTAGTACCTCAATGGGCGCTCGGAAACGATGGCTGCATGGTGAAATCACTTCCGGCACTCACAGTTCTGTACCTGCCCGAAACTGCTGCAGTACAGCTTACAACAGACTGCGGTTTGGCCGGAGTGCGACGAATCCAATGTACCGGGAGCGCAGTACGTATATATGATTTAATAATTACTTAATTTCTATTGATATTTGATTACAATTTCAAAGAAAACAAAACATATGATCTCGTTGAAATACTGATTTTATTATTCGATTTTTCCATTATTTCTCGAGAAACTATGGTTGGGTTTGGTCGGGTTGATATTCACCTATACTATTCTTGTGTGATTAATTGATAATTTTTTTACAGAAACGCGAAGACCTTCTGAAAAACTTGTCTTGTTTCGTCGAAGACAGCTCGTCTACAACACCCAACCCTCATGACTTGGGCGATTCTTTGGCCGTTACAACGGATAGTACATTATTTGATATAGAAAATAATGAAATGACAACCGTCGAAAATACAACAAGTCGCGGTGATGGTGAACAAGCCAGTAATATGAAAAAGACAACAATGCAGAGCTTTATTTTAAACAATCCCAATCAATTAACGGAAAAACATTATGAACGTAGTTCTATGCCAGATTTAAATCTAATAGAAAATAATAATCTTTATAATAACATACCAAACATTCCAAGTGTAGTTTTTAAAGATGATTCACCAAACACTGAATATGAAAATAAGTTAGAAGATGACAGACATTTTCAACATAAACTATTACATGATGAACTCGCGCGTCTTGGTAACTTTGAAACTTTATTTAATCAAGAATCAGATCATTTTATACCGCCACTTGTAATGGCTAAGGCAAAATTGAGTAACGATATGACTGCGATTTCTTTTGAAGAAAAACTCGCACAGGAGCATGATAACTACCAATTTATGAAACAATCAAATGATATGATGAAAACAATAAATACCGATAGTGAAAATACTACATTAGATCAAAAACAACTTACTGACAAGGAGAATACTAAAAAGTTAACACCGAAAAAATACAACTATAAAACAACAAAATATATCGATGCAAAGCGAAAATCAATTCCAATATTGAATCTGAAAAAATCTGTGGCTGATATATCACTTCTATCGACTACTTTGTTGACCACAACAAGTACTGAGATTCCTACTGTTGGACACACTGATTTTGCAAAAAAAGCAGACTCACGTGATAAAGATGACACTTCTATAGAACTGACAGTTATAATTAGAGAACCCACTGATGTACTTGATGACTCACATAATAATACTTCTAATATGTCCGTACAGACTATAGAAACTGCATATGATATTTTAAACGTGACGTCAGAATTACACGACGAGGCAGAAGAACGTGTTAATGTTGTTACTGTACCTAACCTTATCATATTAAATGATGACATTATTAATATAACATTAGGTAGTAGTTTCTTTGAAGGGACTGGGAACGAAAGTAAAGCTTTGGACAATTTGGATACCACAATTAATGTGCTTCAGAATATTTCAAAACAATCAGATAATCCAGAATTTTTTCAAAATACTTTAAATGTTCATATTAATTCTACTCCAACAGATATAATAATACAAACAGGTAACAACATACCCACAGACTCGACTGAAAACAATTTCAATAACACAAACACGAGTACTGACAGTTATTTAGGTAACCACGAACTTCAAGAAGGACCTTTATTGGCTGATATGGTTCTGATCAATATTACTCAAGATATAACTCCTAACATAGTTATTGATAATATCACACAGTTTACAACTTCCTTCGAAAACGTGGAAAGCAATATTGAACAACATTCAAGCAATAATTCTAGTGACGAAGATATGGATGACTTTCAGTCTCCATTATTTTCTGGCGCAGATGAGCCTATTCACAAACCCCTTCGATCGCGAAGGCCACAGACTGCTCAGAATCGAGCTAAGAAATTTAATCCTTTCCGCATATTAGGTTAGAAACGTTATCCTTTTTACTATAGATCCTTTGACTGCCAAGAAATACCTTTACACGTTGAAGAACTGAGAAACAAACCCAATTTCTATTTTCATTCTAGACATTACGTTAGATTTAAGTCACATAATGTGATCGCACAGTGCACTTAGCAGATTTAATTAGATTATTACTTAAATGCCATTACCATGAATATGTTACTTAATACTACGCTACAATTATTATTATAGCTTCGCACACCCATTGCTGTAGAACATACTTCATATTGACTTTAAGAGTTTAATTAGTACGAGAAAAATTGATTAGTAAATTAGTGTGCTCACGTCGTGCATTCCATAAACCATGCGCTTGCGCATTAGTAATAATATCAACCTTTCCCGAATAAAATCCTTCCTTTATAGAATATACTTACAATACTAGTTACCGATTAAGACGTGGCGACCACTTACCCTGTATGGAAGTTGAACGCCACAGATCGAATATCACATCTAGCGCTTATACAGCCATAATTCATTGTAGGTTAATAATATAAGATGTTGGTAACACACGCATTAAGGTCAAAATGGTAACTTAGTCAATTCACGTAAAGTAAGTATAGCCTCGCTATGTATCATCTTTTTAGATATAGCTAGTCACTTAGAAAGCAACTGAACTGTGAAAACATTGCCAAACTATCGAAAATATCATATTTACCACAAAAAACCATTCATATCATTATGATATAAAAGTTAGTTTAAGTTAAAGTATATTTTTCTTTTAAATTTCGAATGAAAATTATTTAAAAAAATATCCTTACTCAATTCGTAAGTCCTTAATGATTTAACGCCTGTGTGTCCTTGAAAAATCCGTTTCAATAAATCTTATTACTTAAGATGAACGCGATTAGATAATATTTTACCAACTTGATAAAGTGAAGGGAGGCTGTTCTACAAAAAGTAAATTAATATTTTATAATCAATCACACTGTAGTACGAATTTTATAATAAGATATTAAAACTAATCTAATATATAATGTGTTTTATTCTAAACTTATGTCTTCAGTCTCGAGACTTTGGATCTCTGCGTAAATGGAGTAAGTGCATATAAAACTATAGCAAAAACATTGTGACGAACATTTAGTATTATAAATATCTCATTAGATAGATGAGAATATCATTTTAAATTTATTTTCTCCGATGGAAGAGGTGGGTAGACAGGCAAGGAGTTTACTTGATTGAAAGGGAAATACCCCAACTACATAACATCAAAACAAGTTTCGTTGTAGACCTTTAAAGGCTTTGAATCTTCTGAAACCGAAACGCGATTAAACTTGTCCAACTGCTTGTGGTTCGTGTATTTGTCGAAATGTCGATATTCCTACCTTCAATTTCATATCTACATTCCAAGACGAAGTTCAACATGTTTCAGAAAAATTATAAAATGATTACAATCATCTTAGACCTGAACCGAACCCACGACCCGTTGATCCATACATTACTACCGGTTAGACGTAGAAGCCTGCCACGTTGTTCTTATTTGATCAAATGTTAATTTAATTAAGCAGAATGATTCTGTAATTTTGTCTATGTAGCGCATTGTTCTATTTTCAGTTTTAACATAAAAATAGCATAGCTCTAAACTTAAGATACAAAACGACGAAGCTTCTTAAATAAAACATTTTGCAATTTTAAATTTTACTCAAAGACTTGTTTTCAGTTTCACAAGATATTTTTCGAGTGCTCCAGTCTCGAGACTCTTTAGTCGAGTTGTCTGTTGGACAACGAACTTAAGAGCACACAGTTGCAAATACAATTTACACTCTTTATAACGGTAAACACTATATAACACAGACCTAATGTTTAGTTTACCTTAAAATCCACACTTTACTAATGTACTCTTTATAGGGTAGCAGAGATTTTCTATCAAGACAGCCATATCTTAGACAAAGACATATATTGGCTGTCTATATTATTCACCATTAAACATTTGACGAGGTTTTTTTTTGTCTAAAAATATTCCTCACCATATATTAAAAAGACTAAGATGATGGTGTATTATCTTATTTAACGGATGAAAATAAAATGTGTAAAACACCTATAGACAAGACACGTAGGCGTGAAATAGTTATTTTGTGTAGCGTCCCGTCGTTCTAGCAACTTACTCTTGAAAGAAATATATAGTGACGCGGACATTTTTTTAGATCATTTAAAGAGGAATCACTCATTCGTGCGTATTTTTTGGCTATTTGAAACGGTATTCGCAGCGTAAGCAACGGTAACCCGCAAAGATGAATATTTTTTCTTGTTTTTGTGTAATATTTCAATTCGAACCAGTAGTTCTTGACATTAGCGCGTTCAAATAAACAAACAAACTCTTCAGCTTTATATATTAGTATAGATGGCGAAAATAAAGATAGTCAAAGTATATTTTACCTAATCTAGCAACGCAAAAGACATTAAAGATTTTATTGTTAATTAAGTTATTGTTCTTTCTCGACTATTTATTATGAGGACGTTTTAATACTCTGTACGTATAAACCTGAGCAACAACAACGTCCACTGAACGAGAAATGAAACTTTTAGAACAAAGGAGAAGAAGAAAGCTGGATTAAGTACAGTGAAACCAATGTTAAGTATTAATTTGCGGTTCGAAAATATCTACATTTGGCGTTGAAATACAGTTAACAGTAAAGCTTTGTTATATTGCAATACTCTTGAACAAATATTTGCAGACCACTTTGTCTCTGACTCGTTTTGTTGAACCTCAAGTTTAAATTAAATTTCCAATACGTAAACATTGTGAAGTACTACAGGAAGTTTATTGAAAACGCAAACTTGGTAAACTTGAAATGAACGAGTTTCTTAACGTTATTTCCACCTCTTGTTACAAAAATACTGTAAATTTGGTAAGAGCTACGCAATTATAGGAAAAAGTTACTTATAGAAAAAAAAAGAGTAATCGTAAACTGTATTAGTTAAATAGTCCCTAGAAACTATTTCTTGTTAAAAGTAAAAAAAACCGCGTTTAAGCTTGTCTTAGAGTTTCAATAAAATACGTACTATAACGGTTTAAAACGCGTACTATATTATAACCTAGTAGATAAAATAATGTGTAAATAAGTCTAACTAAAAATATATTTCGCCTTTTAACCCGTTCAATTGTTTTATTTAAATGTCTACTACTCGCGTTAACTACAGACAGTATTTGTTTTAGAATGTTTTTAATGCGCAATTAAATGTTTACCCTCCCATCAATTACACATACATATTTATTGTGAGCTATTTATTGATGTTACTGTAGACTGGATCCGGATTTGTACCAAAGATGACAAATAAGAGGAGAGAGGAGGTAAATAATCAAATCGAGTTTCAATTGCATTTAGTTTGCTATTCATACTATCCGCAGTATCAACCAATCTCAATAAACTCGAATCAAGGCGGTTCCGGCACGACAGTTCTACAAATCATTGTGAATAATGGATGAGACAGAATATGTCGTGTGACCTCTGTCCTAATTTTCGGCGTCACAGTTCAATACTAGCCATCGTGCACAGTCCTCGTTTAATTGTATGTACTTAAACAAAATACATAATTAAATACGGTCTGTAGTTAACGCGGGTAGTACACGTACGCGAGTAGTACGTACACGTTTATATAAAACACTTTAACGATTTAAAACGTGATATATGTTAGTTTAATCACAAATTATTTTAAATAAGACAAAAAATATAATTTATTATTATTAATTTGAAACGTAAAGTTTTCAAATATTATTTATTATTTAACTTTTGGTTATTAGCTGCAGTAGCCCCCGCACTAGGATTCATTGTGTCGTAGGCGGCTAATGTCTTCCGCAGAATTATAAATAAAATTGACTAAATACTAAGGGCCTATATGGTAAGTAGTATTTAGAGAGGATTATTCACAACGATATAGTGAATACAATTTTGACTGCCAAACATACAATACATTTTTTACTTTTTTCAAAGACTTTTTATTTGTAATATGTATAACTTAAATGTAACTTAAGAGACACATTTTTATAAATTTAACCCTAGTAGATAATGGGGTAAAAGGGATGACTGTAATTATATTTATTAACTAGCTGAGCCAGCGACTTTGTCCGCGAGAATCGTTATTTTGGGCATCCAAATTAGTTTTTGCAAACCTCGTCGACTTTATAAAGTTAAGCTGTTAACCACCCGACGTTCTTGCAAGTTAATCTAAAAAGATAGACATATAGGTTGGATTTTTTTAGTTAATTTCAAGGGAAATCATTCTTCCGAACACATTTTTTGAGTATCTTGATCAGTTTTTGCAGCGGACGTATTTGAAACCCACAGAGATGAATTTATCCCGTTTTGTTCACATTTACCGCTGTATCCTCGCTTCTATTAGTCGCAGTCGCAATTCCAACCCATATTTCTTGAGATTAGCGCGTTCAAACATACAAACAAACTCTTATTTAAAGAAAGACTTCATATATTAGTATAGATAAATTATTACGCTTTCGAACGCCATTATTTGTGATCAAGGTTTATATGAAAACAATAATCCAGATAATACACAATACAAACGTCCATAACTTTTGAATTTATGTCCTGTGATGCGGACAAAAATTGCTGTTTTATTGAAAATGGGCAATACGGTTACAAACGGCGTCATAAATACATGGTCGGATCGTTATCGACAACATTCCGATGTAGGAATACCTAAAACATTTTCAACGCATCGCAAGCGTTAGCTGATGGAAACCGGGTATTTTATTTAAAACAAATCTCACAAAAAATATATAACCTATGTTTGTAATAGATTTAGGTTTTAAACAGGTGTAAATACATTTACATTTTACATACACCATCCGATTAATTAGTTTATTTTATTTTATAATTGAGAAAAGAACAACAATATTGTTATAAATGGTTCGTTTTCAAAGCATAGAGGCCAATGACCACATTTTACAGAGTGAAGTTCATGCCACAGATGACACAGGAATGAAATATCGCTTATCTATAGGCCAAAAGACC